TTCTCAACACAGCAATTACAGGACCTGAAAAATGGAACTTTGTAACTGAACAAGAGATCATAACTCTCTGTAGAATTAAAGAGAAAGTATTAACACAAAAAGTAAAGCAACTTAAACAAATTATATTGAAAGAAATGCTCAATAAAGTAAACAAATAAACATTATGCTCTTTTTATTTTGAAAATTTTGGTACCCATTACATCATTATTTCATAAATCACGATTTCATATTTTTAATTTTATAATTTGTACATGCTCCTTACTAGGTCTAAATTAATGATCCAAAATCCAAAAAAATCCCAAATCTGGGATCGCCGAGGTCCCGCTGAGCCCGGATATTGGATTTTGTACTGTATATATATGTATACATACTATACATATTAAAAGGTAAAGTTTGTATTAATGTTTTTTGTGTGCGAAATTAGAAGTCATCATTCATTTTTTTAATAAAAAATTACCAAACTGAGACAAAGTGATTGTGCTAATTCACAAGTACCACACTTGGCATACATCTTTTGCATATGGTTTCCCTGCTTCTAGATAATGGCTTAACAAATGAACTGCATTTGATTCACGATTATACTTCAATGACAGAAGACTGGGTTTAACTTAGAAAATTTAATTATCAATATGTAATGTACAGTGGAATAGCGATAATCTGCAGCTGTTTAATTCCATAAGTGCCGCTGATCTGCATTAATTTTTGGATGCAAATTTTATAAAATTTCAATTTTTAGAAAATTCAACATACGTAACATTTTTTATATAAATATGTTAACACATATTTTAAAAAGGAATTACAAAACTTATAACATATTTTGAATGAAAAAGGGAATTTATTTTGTTAATGAAACTACTCAGCATTTTGCCCGTAACTGTAAACACTGTTCTTAAGTGTCAATATGGATAATGAATTTCTGTATATTTTTCACTTTAAATAAATTGTTATTTTTAATTGTATATTTTCTCATTAATGTATTTTCAAATTTAATCCCAAGTTTGTGTAATTAAAATATATGAAGATTTACTGAAAATTTTCATGTACTACATTGTAGCGCAAGGGAGCATATGACAAAAATTTTCAATTTTGGGCTAAAAAAATAAAGTAGACTGAGAAATTCTCCAGAAATATACAATTTATGTATGTTTTGAAATTTTAAAAGACTGAAATCGTTCATTAAAAAATGTAAACAAGCACTGGCATGCCTACTAATTTAAAAGGACAGATGTTTGATGTGGGAAAAGTAAAGCTATATCAGGCAGTAAAAAATATGTTTTTAAACATTCTTTTGTCAGAACCTGGTTTTATTAGCTGTTAAAAGTGTGTTTAGAAGTCTAACAAGAAAAACTACTTTAAAGTGTAGTCTTGGAAGAACTCAAAACAATTTTAATAATTGCATCTGCACACACACATACGAAAAACTGTTTTTGTGAATGTCATCACGTTAAAATTAGTTTTATTAGATATGGTAATATGTTTTAATGATGGTGTTCAAAGTCCCAATAATGTAATAGAACTATTAGAAATACAACTAGGAATTTATATTGTGAAATCTTTGTGAAAAATAGATTGTGAGAGAATTCGTGAGGCTAATCATCTTACTTACCAAAAGCTTTCTAAAACGACCAGAAAGAAAAATAAATTAATAAAACAAGAAGAGCTTTATGTATAAATGTCAATTCAAGATGATTATGGTGCAGGAAAATAATTTTTTTAATAAATTATTAGTGTTTAAATGTTTTTTTTGTTTTTCTCAAATTTTTTTTTTTAATTTCTCCACAGTTGTTTTCCTTAACTATTTCTTTGAAACTATGCAGGATAGAATTTACAATCTTTATTATTGGATAAATTAAAAATTTAATACTTTTTTTAATGATTTAAAAAACACTTTTTAAGTAAAATGCAAAATACTGCTTATTCTTTTTAAATGACATGTATTTAATCATCATGCAACAGCTGAAGAAATATGGTGTAGTATTTTTTAAATAAAGTGTACCAAACTAGCACTCTGTCACAAAAGATTCATCAAAGATGCATAAAATATTAAGCATTTAATTTATATTTTATGTGTTTTAAATAATGTAGAATCTGTCTATTTTAAACTGCAAAAGAATCCAGAGTATACATCTGTTTTGAGAAAAGTTATACTCTTATAACTTTTGTCTCAAAATAGTTGCATTTTGCCAGTTGAGAAGTCTTCCAATAAGCTCGTTTCATCAGTGGCAAATAGGCATATTTTTGGGAATTAAAAAGGAAAACACGATAATAAAGCACTAAGAAACTGAGATAATCTTTAAATAAATCAAAGTTTTCTAGTACTTTTTATAAGCTGTTAGTAATGTTACTGATCCAGCTGTATATGCCTGGAACTGGCAGAATTAGCAAATGGAATCAATTTCAGGAAAACTGTGCTGCTGAAGTTTCTGGAAATAATGTATTTATGCACCTATTTTCATCTCAATTAAGAGCATAAAAATTACTTAAAAATAATTTTGCTTGTAAAAACACTTTTTTTTCCCTAAAATTCCTTGGTGCATTTTTAGAAAAAGCATTCCCTCTCTCGCTTCAAAATATTTCCCCTTATGCACCAGCATTTAACATTTTTTGCTTTATACCTAAATTAATTTTTAAAAAGTATACTAGTAAGATACTCAAATAATCTTGATGTAATAATTCTGCAGATATGAGAGAGTTTTAAGCAGTTATTTATGCACAAACAATCCAAATTTAATTTTAAAAATGAAAAAGGGAAAATGCAAACAAAAGAATACATAACCAATAAGCCATAATACTCACTTGATTTGTGCAATACATTGCCTAAAGCTGTGCAGACTATCAGAATTATACTATATTTACAATTTTATATGTAATTAAAAATATACACTATTTAAACTTTATTTAATGATATTCTCAAGTTAATGCTTGTTTCTATTGGTCTGGACCAAATTGTATAAAAATAATGGCAAATATCACTGTTAATTTCCTAGATTTAAAAATAATATTTTATGAAAACTATTGTTCTAAAAGTACAAATAAATCATAGTAAAACACATTAAAGTTTCATTCTTTCTTACAAACTGATGTTACTTTGATATGTACATTAAGGAGAAATCTTATTCTGAAAGAAAATGAAAAGAATAATAAAACTTTTCTTGTCAATGAACATTGCTTTGTTCATCCAAACATTTGCTACCTGAAACTTTCAAGTCCAAGAGTTTGCCTTTCATTTTGAGAAACTTCAGTTGATGAATGAAATGTGATAAGGAAAATCTTGCACAGATAAGTAACCAGAATGGTGTCTGTGCTTCACACAAATAGTTGGATTCAGTTCCTTTTTTGTTTGTTCAAAAGATTCTAAAAGTTTGCATGTTGCTCTGTTTATTGTTTCCACATAGTTGAATCCTTTTTTGTTGAGACTATGCAAGATTTAGAGTAACAAAAAAGCTTACGACTTTCTCAGGTGTTAAAGTAGTTCAGTAAAAGAACAACAGAATTTTCACCTAGCCCTATGCTGCTGGATTTGGATGTTCAAGATGGTCCTCACTGTTCCTAAAAATGATGAATCTGGGGGGAAATTGAGTTTCCACACAAATATGAGGCTATTTTAGGCAAATATTTTCATTGTTTCCCCTTAAAATACTTATTCATACCTTTTTCCAATATCCTGTATGAACTTCCAGGTTTACTGATAACAGTGCATAAATTTATGACTTTCTAAAGTCCATTGCTCGATCCTCTTGAAAAATCGCACTTTTTTTCACAGAATGTCAATGGATGGCTTCTGTGATAAGGTCAAAGGTCAAAGAATTTTTTTTTCAATGCAGATAAGACACTTTTTGTTGATAATGTTAATTTAAGATTGTTTGTTGAACAATCAGTCAGGCACTATGAAGCTTTCTATCCAGGAAGGCTAATTGTTTCTTGTTTACAATGCCAATTTTCAGTGGCTCCATTATGATCTGTATCATATACATTCCATAGTCATCCAAATGTTAACTCATACTGAGAATGGAAGGCACAGAAAATGAAAAGAAATTTTAGCTGAGCAAAATCAATTACCTTTTGCATATTTTACCTGAAGTTAAGGAGAGCGAAGTAATTTGCCAGACATTATTTTAAAAACAGCAAACCCTGATAATTTTGTTATAATTAACACAGCAAATGCATCCACATGACCTCAATAATTAAATTTAAAAATTACTCTGGTATTTAGATAACCAAAGCTAGTGTTACCTATGGCAGAGAAAACTTAAAAGGGGATAGAGGCACTTGCACTACTAGTCGATTTTACTTGGTAACAGCATTGCACACACAGTTTCCTATACTGCCTTATCTATTTCATTACTGTGTCAAGAATCTTATGCATTTTAAAACTTTGAAAGTTTTCCTCTTTTTTAAGTATAAGACTGCAATCAAACAACATACAGAAATTTAATGCTGCTTTCTGATTGCCCACAGCTTTTGAGAGTCTTCAAGTTATTGGCGACATTGTTAATTGGCCATAGGTATTGCTCCAACAAGAATTTTTATCAGAGAAAAGTATAGTTACATTTATACAGCCTATACATACTGTTTAGCTAAATGACCATGATATATAAACCACGTAAATTCATGTGTATTCTAATACATATGCTGTATGGGCAAGATTAGGTCACTTACTGTTTGTTGTGTATATAATTGAATATAGGCTAAAAACTGGCAATTCTACCAGAAGCTGACACGAAGGTTGCAGAAAATACCCCCACAGTCAACTATACAAGACTTGGTGTTACCCTTGGAAACAGCTGCTTGAAATGAAAAACAAAAAGATACCACTAATTAGCACAAGAAATGTAGAACTACCTACTTAAACACTGCACTGTGAAAATTTGTGTATACAGGAAAATGTCTAAGTTTTTGCAACATATTTTAAATATGTTTTTAATTGCATGAATAAAAATGTGAAGTAAACAGAATATTAAAATAATGAAACAACATAGCTATTAAAAGCAAATATATACCTGGGTAATTTTCATCTTCTGAAGAGGTTTCTAATTCTCCAGTTTCATCTCTTAGGTCTTGAAGAGCAGAAAAATACCTCAACCTTGTTCTCTCAGACAGAGTAGCATCCTTAGGCTTAGCAGTAAATTGCTGCATTTTAACTGCTTGATCAGGTGGTAATGTATAAGATGCATCAATGAGCTTCTAAAATAAAAACAGCAAATACAAATAAATATGCACAAACAGAGATGAACAAGAAAATGCTTCACTTATAAATTGTGAGTTTAACCCTTTCTGGACGGGTGTGCCATATACGCAATGGCTGTATTTGGTTCATCTATGGCAGGTGTGACATCTGCAATCTCAGAGCATTAGAACCTAGAACATAGCCAGACTGCATGAAACAAAATGTAAACATTTTTAATTCTAACAGATGGCACCCTATTTCCATGGTACCAAGATAAATGGAAATTAAAATGTTTGAATTTTCATATTGGACTGTTTCGTTTTATTCTGAAGGGTAGATACCGGCATTCGGAAAAGCAAAGAAGTGTACTGGGTCTTTATGCACCTACGTTTTTGTTTATGTTTCTTTTCAGTGGTTTTATGAAGGATGAGTATCTTATATTAATGCAATTTTTATTTAGTTTCTTATTTTTGTATGTAGAATAGTGTGTTATTTTATGCAAATATAATTTTTTAGAGTGGTAAGGGGTGTGCATTAAGATGTCAAAACAAAAGCAATATTTATCAGAAGAGCCGAAATGTAAGTGGCTTTAACATTAAATTATCCAATTCTGATATAGATATTTTATCAGATTCAGAACTGCACCCTTTTTCCTTAACATCAGATCCATCTGTAAATGACAACTGCTCTCATGCACTAAAAGATTTATAGCTGCATGCTTACATTAGTACATCTAGTATTAATTATAATGCAATATAATAGATGGTGATAAAGATTTTTTTCGCATATTTTTCGATGATGATTTAATACACTACCAGACACTGAAAATGCAACACTCTTGGTGTTGCTCAAGCACTTTCATGACACCTGCATATAATAATTCCTCTACTTATTTTCTAATTTTATTAGTATCTTTAGGGAATGCCCTATATGGTCCATAAGGCTACAGGAAGTTCTGAAGTCAATATTACTCTTGGAGCTTCAATCTTAATACAAATCACATCATACACTGCTTGACATTGAAAATGCAACACCAAGAAGTGGCCAGAAAGTGATGATACTTGGCAAACAGAGAGCGACAGCAATGAACAATAAGTGATCTTTATATCAAAATGATATGCATAATACAGAGCGAGAACAGCATCGACTCAGTAGGTTTCAAGACCACCTTAGACGGTGATACATGAAGCAAGACATCTACATACAGAGTTAATGAGACTACAGATGGTGTCAACAGGAATGGCTTTCCATTCCATGTCAACCACAATTAGTCTTTAGAATGCGGTAATGGCAGCATCTGCAAATGGCATCCAATCACATCCCAAATGTGTTCAACTGGTGAGAGATCAGGAGAGAATGGTGAGCAGGGAAGCATCTGTACACCTTGCACAGCACGTTCGCTGACACGAGCAATGTCTGGTCGGGTGTTATCCTGTTGATAAAGGACATTGCTGTCAGCGGCAGCAACACATCATCCCTTTATTGTTGGGGCCTGAATACAAACTAGAGGAACCTGGAATCATTCACAATTGTGCCCCAAACCATAAAGCCGCATTGTCGTTTGGGAGGCGTTTCACAACTGCTGTCAGATTGGAACTGTTTCCACATCATACTGAGTTTTGCTGTATGGACCAACCTGCCTTTCTCAGTCCAATCACTGTGCCCTTCATAAACTCATCTGTCTGCTGGAACTGCCTCTGTTGATAACGGCCTGGCATTATCTGCCATTACACACGTCATAGGAGATAAGAAAAAATTTTCTATGATGATTTTTCTAGCAGAAATAACGGCACGAAAATTTAACATTCTGCATGTTTCTTACTTTATAGCTTCTTCAATGTGCGTTGGAAAGCTGCACATTTCACATCATTCGAATAACTTGGTGATGTGCAGCATCTACCCTGAAATTTGAATAATTTTCGGAGACACTTCTTGATGTTGCCGTTTCAATGCCAGGTAGTGTAAACTGGAACAAACAAATAATTTTGCATACTTTGATCTACAGCAAGATCCACATTTCAGTGGGTCATCTTGACATTCTCCTGATCCTTAATGATGTCAAGAGAGACACTTTTTAACATATTGCAATATCTAGTGCGTTTGCCATTTTGTGATTGTATGAGTTCTGATAAATGCTTTCCATTTTTTAATGAGGATGATGGTTCGGTAAAACCATCAAAACTAGTTCTGTGAAAACTTGCAAATATAACACTGATTTTTGCTGTTTGAATTCTAAATTAAATGCTGAATGTTTTGTTTTAAAATGCCTCTTTCATTGTTTATGTATATCATTACAGCGGCAAAAGTTATATGTATTTAATTCTATAATTCATCAAGCATATTCATTTTCTGTATATTTGAGAAAACTGAATTAATTGGAATAAAAATGTGCTTTGACGAATTTTTTAGCAAAATTAGGGTACGTGGGTAAATAATTAGGTACCCTCCTTCCTATGGAGACATCACAGAAGCTCAGTGCTTTGACACATAGCAACAAGCTAGGACACTGAACTGCCGTACAGAAAGTGTTAAAAAGCAAAAATGTTTGTGGAATGGAAAAAGCAATTTTTTCATTCGACATAAATAAAAAATAGATCTAGAATCTGAAAAACTGGGTTACTTTTTGATTAACTATACCTCGAGTGAAAAATCACAAAAACATATTTATGACACAAAGGATTACGTCACAGAAATAGTTAAGTAACTCACCACGTTGCTAAAAAGTACTTGTGCAGCAACCCAGGTATGTATGTAGCATGTCACTTTCAGCTGGTACACAAAGTTCTAAGGATGCAGAATTTGTGCAATTCTCTGATTTTTTTAAAAATAAAAACAGCCCTATGTAAAAGGCGAGAACAACAACACACAAACAGAAGGATTTTTCAAATAAATTAGCTGTGTTATTACTGATGTTTCTTGCTTTTTAAATTTTATTGATTGATAGCTCTTATATTGAATACTTAGCGCACATCTCTTTTGAAAATAGTTATTGGTTTCTATGCTAACATTAGCAAAAAATTAGTCTGCAACAAGTTCACAAATGCGCTTCAAAGTCGGCAAAGAATTCACCTTTTTTGGCAGAGAGGCGGATAATCCGAAAGTAATGAAAACTTAATAGCAAAACTCAAAATAAAATTGATCAGTTATTACAAAATCAATTACATTAACCCTCTGAAAATTATAACCACTTCTATGCAGCCACACCATTTATTTATTATCATCTGTATGACTAAATTAAGTAATTAAGATTGAATAAAGAATAAATTAAGCAACTGAGTAAATGTCATCCTAAAATTAGCATTATTTCCTAATTTATTATCAATTCTGCTTTAAGATACAAAATGGACTTTAAAAAAAATGTCAAATTGGTTCACAATATGGGATGATTACTATGTCAACATACTCTTTGTTATTCAATTACTTATATAAAAAAATTACTTAGGTATCATTGCATGAAACATTACTCAAATGTATTGGTAAACATGCAGTAATGAAAGCAAAATATAATAAATAATGTTTCACCAGGTTGGCATCAGGGATATAAAATATTAGTGGAAGTAAAATCAGCGATGTTTCTATGTAGAATATTTTAGTTTGAGATGTATTCCTAGCAGATATGCAGCCAAATTAATGATCACACAAATTTATGCTAAAATGATTCTTCTTCAATAATGAGATATTTTATTTAGTGCCAAGGTGAAATTAAGAATCGGGACTCTCCACATGTTATGTTATAGGAGGAAAAATGAAATGTGCATGTGTAAAGCATACAAAAAACAAAAAAAAAAAAAAATCTTTAAAAAAAATTTAGTGGTGGCCTTGAGTCTGGATTTTAGATAATTCTGGGTATTTTAGATGTCTGGATCTCAGACTTTGTATGATATATGGTTTACTGCACAATAGCACTAAATATCTGAGTAAATTCTGAAGGCTATTTTTAGAATGCCAAAATTTTAGAGTTTATTTTACTTTTGTATGTAACAACCCTAACTCCCAAATTATTTAAATAGCTAAAAAACATTTTATTTCAAAATAAAACCTATAAAACTGGATATGGTTCTGTTGTATTTACGATATAGGAATGCTTATGACATCATCAAACAAATCAAAATTTAGAAAAATAGTAATTACATAATTAAGCACACAGTAGCATTACAATTAGAAACTAAGACGTTTTAGCAAATTTTAAAACTGCTATTCATTTTATTCATTACAGCCCAATAGCGGGCGAGCGGTAATGTCGCTGAAAACTGTTCGTTCCAATCTGGGTTTGATTCAATGCAAATGTGCATTTATAGGGTTTTCCCCATCTGTAATGTGCAAATGAGTGAGTTTCCCCTAAAAATCCTTTGCAAAGGCATCCCCTCTCTGAGATAAGTAGCCCTAAAATGCTTTGCCATAATCAAATAAACCAAACCATTTTTATTCATTATTTCTTTATAACATGGTGATCCTGATTGCAATTTTTTTTTTTTCTGTTATGTGGTGCTTTGCATTATTTTATTTATTTACCATGTTTAGGTTGATAATTTTTGAGTTTATCTAGTGTTTAACTTGCAGACACATGACTTTTATTGAATTGCTTATTTGTTACATAGAATAGATATCTGATTTCAACAATGCTGGAGCTGCAAAAACAGTTCAATTGGAAGACAACATTAAGGGAATTTTGTTCCTGACGAACCTTCATGACAATTTTTGTGACCAGGCGACATGTGGGGATTTCTCATCAACTTGGTGACTTCGGATTTTAGGAAGATATACTTTCGAAGTCCAATGTCCAACTCTTCGAGAAGTTTCCAAAGCCCAAGCTATAGTATATAAATAATGGTTGGAAAGCTAGGAACATTCAGCTGTGAAATTCAGCAGTTAGATGAATTATGAATCAGGGTTTACCCTGAGAGTGACTTGAGGAACTTCATGACATTTCATGTGCTAACAAGGAACTGCTTACTATGTTCTCCTTCAGTTATTTCTAGCTACTTGTGTGTGCTATGTTTCATAATACGTTGTTCAT